GCCAACTAGTGATTTAAATACATATTCAACTCTTTAAAAATTAACTGAGTAATTAAACTCTTCTTACTTGCAAGAATTAAGACAATATGAAAAGATCTAGTAAATTAAAATAATCAAGAAAATAATAATTAAATCCAAATCTTACTAGTGTGTGTGCCAAGACCTAGTGTCACAAGTGTATGAGCATCTAGTAGATTATACAAAAATTCTAAATATTGTCTGAAATAAAATAGACAGAATAAAATTTCAAGAAAAGGCACTAGTTGCGGCAGAACGGCTCAGAAAGGCAGCTCACCACTGAACCTCTGGATAACGTGGGTGCGCGCTGATAGGTCCAACTATAGCACCTGTCTCAGGTCCTACACAAAAGGTGTAGCATGAGTACGTAACAACGTGTACCCAGTAAGAATCAAGCCTAATCTCGAACAGGTAGTGACGAGAGGTCAACTTTGACACTCACTAAGGGTTAATAATAAGAAATAAAATAACAATAGAAATATTTAAATCAACATGATTTATAGAATTTATAATAATTTTCTTTAACCAGCAGAAATAATTAAATTCCTTCAAATGCGAAAATTTTTATTTTTTTTATTTAACTTCACAAGCTGCAATTAAAATATCAAGGTATCGTGTAATTATTATTATTAGGCACGATTTCTGTCGAGGTCGTACGACCCAATCCAAAGTGTCGTGTACACTGCCGAGAGACGTGCGGCGTGATCCATAGATGCATCTATACTGGCGAGGCGTTCGATCCGCTACACAAGAAATGATGACATTTTCTTATGTACCTCCAGAATGAGGATATATATATATTATAAGATTAATACAAGAGGATGTACAATTTCTTTAATTTATTTATACAAAAATTCTAGTATATGAGATTTCAATCTTTTACTATTTTTCCTAACAATTCACAATATAGTTCATATACTTTAATTAAATAAAGGATACAATTAACACATGTAATTCATGATTTGAGTCCTAAACTACCCAGACTTTAGCATAAATAGTAGCTACGCACGGACTCTCGTCACCCCGTGCATACGTAACCCCCACAATTAGCAATAATTATTAATTTAAATCACTTATGGTGTAAATTTCCCCTTACAAGGTTAGACAAGAGACTTACCTCGACTTGCTCCAATTTAATCCTCTAGTATGCCTTTTCCTCGATTATCCATCTCTTAATGGTTCGAATCTAGCCAAAATAATTTGACACAGTCACAAAAAAATTATAGGAGTCAACTTCATAAGAAAATACTACATTTTTCAATAAAAATCCGAAATTAACTCAAAACTCGTCCGTGGGGCCCACATCTTGGAATCCGGCAAAAGTTACGAAATATGAACGCTCATTCAACTACAAATCTACCCATACAAAAATTACTAAATTCCGATAATAATTCGTTCCTCAAATCCTCAAATTTATCCAAGATGGTTTTCAAACCTTTCCAACTTAATTCACCAATTAAATGATAAAAACAGTGATGGATTTGTGTAATTTAACCAATATTGAGTTAAGAACACTTATCCCGTTATTTTCTCTGAAAATATCCCAAAAATTACCTCAATCCGAGCTCCAAAAATCGCCTCAACCCGAACTAATTACCCTGGTTAGTCACATAATAATTATAAAGCATAAATTGAGCAGTAAATGTGGGAACAAGATTTTGAAAGTCAAAATGACCTCTTGGGTCATTACAACAACCAAGAATTTTGACAAACCCATTTTTTTGTTCTTTAAGCTTTTTCAAGGTCCAACAATGGTCGAAATTATTTTTTCATTTTGGAATTTCATCTACAACTATGGATTTAGAATGAATTTAGCACTTGAATCTCAACTTTAAAACTTCAACGACGTCTGAATATGCTCAACACCTCTAATAATTTTTCAAGTTCATAAAAAATAATTGTCCTTTTTATTTTTCTAAATACAAAATAATATTTTCATTACATTTCGAACTAAAAAGAAAAGAAAAAGGAAGAAAATAAAATAGATTTAAAAAAACATAAAATTACATGTGGCAGCGCGTGTGTTTCACCGCTTACTAAACGTTTGGTTCTCTACGCCACGTCAGTATTTAGGGTGACATTTATCCACTTTAAAAAAGTTTAGAGTAAGAATTACTAATAATTTTTGTAAGCACTTCTTTTGTTATTGACTATCAATTATAGTTTTAGAGTATTAAATTTCACAATCAAAAAATATCTTCATAAATCGATATTTTTTTCTATTTCTCAAATTAAGGCACGTTCTTATAAACTCAAATTTGCTTTAGGCGCTTGCCCAATGAAAAATCTTCAATAATATCACTTGTTTTTATTTGTTGAAAGAGAAATAATTGGTGTCTGATTATATGGTGGCAGCTAGCGTTGCTGCCTTGTGAACCACAAACACAAAGTATCAATGTTTTCAACGTGCCCACCAATTCCTATTAGTTTGAAGTAGTATTAGATTTAGCTTAAATGGAAAAATACATCGGGATTTTCCCGAATTTGGTACTTTATATTTATTGTATATTTAAAAACATTTATCCTAGTTACCTTACCGAATTTGACAACTTAATAGTAGTCTTTGTTCCCTTAAATGACCTCAGTCCAAGAAATGTGATGCACTCGTTGTCAAATTAATATTTTTTGTTCACGTGTTATTTTTTTAATAATTAGATATATATTTTAACTTTTTAAATTTGTTAATTTTTCCAATTATTTTTCCGGCCAAATTATGTAAAAACAAATGTCTGTAACTTCATTATTTAGGCTATTATTTATATGGCTAAATACAATGAATTTTCATCCAAGTCTATTAACATATTGATCCGAAAAAGAAGAAATACACATTTGAACTATATCGTCATCATATCTAAAGATGAAATTAAAAAATATAAAGTTGAAAATGCATTATTTTGACAAAACCATTTATTTGGTGAAAATAAAGTAATTCTAGATTTTGTTTTGTAATATTCGCCAAAAAAAATATACAGTTGGAATAAATGGTAGGTGCATCTAAATAAGAAATAAAAAGAAAATTCATCATTTGAGCTCCATTATTTTGGCTGTGTCTTTTTCTTGGGCTAAAAATAATGTAGCTCAAGCCACTTTTTGTTAATAATATCGGCACGATAAATGAAAAATTACTCAGTTAAAATATATATCTTACATCCTATGAAGAAATAAAATAAAATATATACTTGGAACTCCACTATTTTGGCTAACATTTGTTTTCTAACTAAAAATAATTAGTTCCGGCCATTTCACTTAGAGAAGAAAATTAAAATTATAAAGCTGAGGTAAAAATGTGTGGTACAACATCAAGAAGTAAGAAAAAATACACAGTTAAAATAAATAAATTATTATATATGATTATGTAGCAATTAATAGTTGAAAAATACATCGAAGCGTCAAGTTGATTTTTCAATGTTTCATTACTCTTATGCACCTAAAATATAACATTTGAGCGTATCAACTCTCTTCGTCATGTCAGCATTCAGGGGTATGAGGGTCATCGAAATGCCAAGTTCAAAGGGTAATTAAAACAAAAAAATAGTTTTTACGTACACCGAATAAAAGGTTTCAAGTTCATAAATGTTCTGATATATTATATCAATTTTATATTCGTTTTTGCACATTCTAAGTATTTATTTTGATGGAAGTAAAGAGTTTAAATCTCATTAGTAGCGTAACATGTCTTTTTCCTTTCTGCTCCCTCACCCTCTCCTAATGTAATAAGAAAAATAGAAACAGAAAACACTTAAGAAAATGGAACTATTCATCGTAAATCATAAAGAATCTTGAAAGTGGTGATAAGTCAAAGATAAAAATAGTAGTAGTAACAAAGACTATGGAGCATATGATAATGCATATACGTGAGAACATGTATTTACGTGAGAATATAAGCGGAACTAAAATTTTAATTTTATGAGTTCTGCATTATAGAATGACGACTTCAAGTACAAATAGCTGAATCATAAATTCAATATGTGTGCACATATTTAGTAAATTTCTTGACATGAATACATTATTTAAGTAAAAGCTTGGGTTTGACTGAACTCATGAGAAGCGAGAGCAAGATTCTTTCATATGTGTAATTGAGCGTTCTTTTAATTGGTTGACATGATGATGCTCAAATTTATCAAATTTGAAAGATCGAATCTGCACAAAACAAGTACTAGTTTTAGAAATTAATATAACAATAGATCTATCCAAAATTTAACTAGCCAATTTGGTTTAAAAAGGGAAATATAATGTAACACAGGTTTCATTTTTACCTGCTAGCTTATTAGTTATGATCATTCACCTCTATATACCTACGGCCCTAATCATGTCTGAGATTCGAACCAAACAAAGCTAGCTGATGATTTACAGTACAATTCCGAGTGGTCCAAATATTTGTGTGGTTAAACCTCATCTGTCCACTTCCCACTGTGGGCACCCTTGCTCACATGTGAATACAAGGACAAAGTTTTGTACATATACACTCTTCCGTTCAATTTATGTGATGTAAATTAACTCGGTAAGAGATTAACGCCAAAATAAATATCTTTAAAACTTATGGTACTAAATACGTTAAGATATTCGTGTAGTTATAAAAAAAAAAAATTAAAAGTAAAATAAGAAGTTTAAAGTTAAATTATTTCAGATATAAAAATTATTTCTTATGATGATGATATTATTTTTCTGGCTTTTGTTGTTGTCACGGATTCTATTGTCTATTTTCGTCTAGGGTCTTTTTGAAACAGCATCTCTACTCCTCCGGAGCAGGGACAATGTCTTCGTACATTCTACCCTACTCCTATCTCACTTTGCAGGATTTTACTGAGTTCTTGTTGTTGTTGTTTTTGTTATTTCAAATATAAAAAAATGTCATTTTTTTGTTACCGGACTAAGAAAGAAAATAGTATCACATAAGGCATATATAATAATATTACGACATGAAAATAACTCGTGTATCACGTGTAAGTTGTACCCAGCGTTTAGTATAAAGTTGATCTAAGATGCTACTAATTCACTATCTTGAACAACACAACTGTGAAAATGGAAGAAATCACCAGCCAAAAGACTCATGTTTTAGTTCTCCCTTCCCCTGCACAAGGCCACATAAATCCAATTGTTCAATTTTCCAAGATTTTGGCATCAAAAGGAGTTAAGGTGACAATTCTCACAATAGATTTCGTTTGCAAAGCCATGCTATTGGATTGTGGCCCATTAATAAACATTGAGTCCATTCCACATGAAGCAATACCAGTAGAAGGCGTTGATGATTTTCTTGAATGGTTCCAAACACTGATGTTGGAAAAATTCAGTGGTATTGTTGAGAAATTTGGTGATTCTGAATACCCTGTAAAAGTTCTAGTAATTGATTCACTTATCACTTGGATAATTGACTTAGCACATGAGCTAGGCCTAAAAGTGGCTGCATTTCACACACAACCTGTTGCTCTGTCTGCTTTATATTATCATATCAATCACGAAGACTCTACTAATAAAATTCCTTTTGATGGTTCTGCTCCTGTTTCGTTGCCTTCGCTACCATTGCTGGAAAAGGAAGATTTGCCTTCTTTTATCTGTGAGACTGATGCATATCCAACTGTTAAAAGACTTGTCTTTGGCCAGAACTTCAATTTCAAGAAAGCAGATTGGCTTTTGTTCAACACATTTGACATGTTGGAGGAGGAGGTATTGTAACTCTTACCATGCCAAGATTAGATACATTTTAAATAAGTACAATTACTCAGGAGCTTTGGAGCAACAGTAAAGTTGTCTCCATATGTTTTATAGGTCACGGGTTCGAACTGTGGAATCAACCACTAATGTTTGTATTAGGGTAGGTTTTCTGGGTGTGGCCCTTTCCCGGACCCTGCGTAAATGCGGGATACTTTGTGCATCGGGGTACGTGAATGCGCGATGCTCCATGTGACCTATAGGCAGTGTTTGATTGGTCACAAAAATATATAATATTTTAGCACATACTAAAAGTAATCTTGAAACTTGTGATTTTAAATATGTCAAAACATTTTTATGAACATAAAAGCACATTACCAAAGGTAAATGGAGAGTATAAAGCCAGAACTTTCAAATATAGATTTGGAGTTATTCTTTTTTAAACATACTAAAGTAACTACCTAGAGCACTATTACAACATAAGTATTTAACTATTTCTTATGTTGTGCAGGTGGTCAACTGGTTAAGGACCCAATATTCAATTAAAACCATTGGACCAGTAGTTCTACCAATGTATTTTGACAAAGAATATGACTCAAGTCTTATCAAGCCTCATTATGAAACTTGTAAGAAGTGGCTAGACTCGAGGGAAATAGGCTCAGTTGTTTATGTATCATTTGGAAGTTTGGCCAGTCTAGGAGAAAAACAAATGGAGGAATTAGCTTCAGGATTTATGATGAGCAACTCTTACTTCTTGTGGGTAGTTAGAGATACTGAAGAAAACAAACTTCCAAATGATTTCATGTCAAAGGCATCAGAAAAAGGACTAATTGTAAACTGGAGTCCTCAGCTTGATGTCTTAGCTCATAAATCAGTTGGTTGTTTCTTTACTCATTGTGGATGGAATTCGACGCTCGAAGCGTTGAGTTTGGGAGTGCCAATGGTGTGTATGCCTCAGTGGGCAGATCAACCAACTAATGCAAAATATATTACTGATGTATGGCAAGTAGGAATTCGAGTTAAGGCTGGAAAAGATGGTGTAATTACAAGAGAAGAAGTAGCAAGTTCAATAAAGGAAGTGATGGAGGAAAAGAAAGGAGTAATGCTAAAAGAGAATGCAATTAAATGGAAAAATTTGGCTAAGGAAGCAGTAGAAAAAGGAGGGAGTTCTGATAAGAATATTGAAGAATTTATTCAAGCTTGTAATGCACTAAACTGAGTAAAAGATTCAGAGAACGTCTGTTTTACAAGTGGTTTAGATTTTTAGTGCATGTTTAGTTTGCTGTTTCCCATCGTATCATTATGTATTATTTTGAAATTTAATAATTATATGGAACTCCCATTATGTTATTCATTCTATGTTTGGATAAACTGTAGAATATTTTTTGTTGTCGTTTAATAGCATTTTTCTTAGAGAAAACTACACATGTGAGCACTTTTAAAAAGTTATTTAAGAAAATGATATCACTTTTGTTTATTCAAAATCAGATCCCTTGATTTGTGCAATCAGTTGTACGTATAATTTTTATAATGTGCTAATATTGTAAAAACAAAGTCTGCTATATATGGAATAAACAAAAAGTGATATCCTTCTCTTAAATTACTTTTTAGAAGTGCTCACCTATGTAGTTTTCTCTATTCTTATTTGGTTGTTTAATCTAATCTTTAAGAATTAACCCAAATAGTCGTCCACCCAATAACTTAAACTAAAAATAGCCGGTTGAGTTATAGTATATGTATAATTTATGTATTGTATGTGTAATTAATGTATAATCTATGTATATGGATAAAAAAATTAAGCAATTAATATGACCGGCTATTTGTGTAAAAATCCCTAATCTTTGGGCCTTTTGCTCTTGGCCCAATAGTCCCAATTGGATTAGCTTTGTTCCACACTTCTGGCTCATAATCTCTCACCAAGTAAGCCTGGTACACAACAATACTTCCGTCCAAAATAATAACCTTGTCCTCAAGGTTCGAGTCAAGAGAAATGTGAGTAGCGCGTACCCCGCCAATGGTCTCTACACAAAGGTGTTCTGGGGAATACAACCTTTGGCATGTATAAATCTCATTTTCCAAAAATTCAAACTCAAATAAGGATGAGCCAGTTGACTCATGCTCACTAATTATTGCACAACGTAGTTCTTTAGGAGAAATAAATTGGACAACTACCATAATCAATCCCTTTAGCCTCTGATTAGTGTTCGACAATATACACGAGTTTCTGTATTTTTTTATTTTCTTTTGCCTTCTGCAATGTGGCATGCTTTCACATGTGATTATGTTAAAAAGAAGATTAGCAATAAAATGGACACATTCGGAAGCCAGATATCGACATCAATATGATGAATCCACTATTTGATGGTTTTGATTTCCAATTAATCTTTTTTAATTGGATTTATCGAAACGACATTTTTTTGTCCTTTTAACCAAATGAATTAGAGAAGCGTCACGTCCCAAAATACCTCCTAGACGTGACTGGTAGTCTGGCACCTAGCTAACACTATCCACCAGGCGAATCATCTTATACCATACACTTAGCATTTATTCAAAGCTCAACTAACTAAATACAAGTTCCTAACATTTCAATGATTAAATGCGAATGATTAATGATCAAAATTATTCCATAAATATTTATGAATAGTAATAACCAAAATGGAGGAACTATACTCTAGCCCAAATCCCACACTAGACAATAGAGCATCTAAGAGAATTATAAAAGACTCAAGATCGGGTGTGTAAACCCCAAAATAAAAGACATCATATAAATAAATGATAAGCACTCTTTTGACAGCCTCCACGAACAATGTAGTGGTTCACCTCAATAATGTTATCTGTATAGACATGCATGTAAGGAGTGAGTTATACATAAATATAACTCAGTAAGATCCTCGACTCGCTACTTTGAATACCCTTTTAAAAAGTGTTAGAAAATACAAACACACCACAACAAGAACGATATAATAAATACGACGATTATACAATAACACAATATGTATCAACAGAGTTAATAAGAATTAACCAACAAGAGTACTCATATCTTAACACAATACACACTAAGGACTTGCCATAACTACAGTGAAAGAAATTAACCAGCATCTCTACGAGTCCACGACTGCACCACAATGCCTTAAATATGTAACATAGCATACACAATACCCCAAATATATCGAGAAGCATACACAATGCTCGGGTGATGTACAAAGGCATACACAATGCCCCAACATCATGGCTCACAGCCGTATCAAACTATCAAACTCAACATCATGGCTCACAACCGTATCACGCCATCAAACAACTTATAAATTATTATTTTTTTTTTGTATTTTTTATAAAATAATATATTTGTGGCTAGTCTAAGACCACCTATTCTGCCAAGCGCACGCTTGTCCCAACACATGGACCAGACAGAGAAAATATATTTTTAAAACGGGATTTTGAAAAAAGCAAGTATCAAAACTTAAAGTCTCACTCACCTCACTAAAATTAAGTTCCCCAATCTTGCGACATCTAGAACACCAACCAAACATCCTCCAATTCCCTCAATCTATCCACAAAATTAATTAACGATGTCAATTATGCTAGTCCGCGTCAAATCCTAATATTTCTTAATTGCAGGCTTAATTAGAGCTACATCTTAGCCTTCCCTTAAATCATGAATCCAAAAATGAAATAATGTCTCAATCCTAAAATACACATACGTTACGTTACTCAATATATATGACCTGCTAACCTTCAGTTACATATATTCAAGCACGCATTCGGCTGAAGAAAAATTAACTCTAAGTATCATTTGACAGAAAGTTGATTTGACACATATACGTGTCCTATACAGAAGTGTGAAGTATTATATGAACATATAATATAACTAATCAAACTTTGTATGCAAAAGTATGAGATAGATTCCCTATGTACATTAGTTTGTCTCCAAGGATGAAATCTTAAGAGCTTAATTCGTCCATTATTAAAGAGGTGTTTCTATTATTGAATTATATTTATATTCCTAAAGCTTCACAACTATAACAATGTGCAGATCCCTTTATTTTCCAATTCAATTCTCGTCATAATCACAAATGGATAACATGATGATTATTTCTCCTCAATTTATCCAAGAAATTTAGCCATATGGTGAACTTAATAATATACCTGGATACCAATATTAAGTTGCAAGAGATGTCCACTTTTATAGCTCTTGATTTCAGATGACTTCAACTCCTCCAAAGAGCTCTATAGTTTTTCTTCCTACTGCTTGCGCCATCGACTATACCAAACTCATATCTATGCTTTAGGTTTTCTTTTTTATTTTTCTAATCCTAGAACTAAGAAATTAATTTCTTTCTTTTTTTTTAAAAGAAAAAACTTATTTATTCTCCCGGCCGTAAGAAAAAAGGGCTTCGCCCATTCTTTCATCCCTACTAAAGTCCAATTGGCTAAGGAAGCACTAGATAAAGGAGGGAGTTCTGATAAGAATATTAATTGAAGAATTTATTCAAGCTTGTAATGCACTATACTGAGTAAAAGATTCAGAGAACGTCTGTTTTACAAGTGATTTAGATTTTTAGTGCATGTTTAGTTTGTTCTTTCCCATCGTATCATTATGTATTATTTTGAAATTTAATAATTATATTGAACTCCCATTCTGATATTCATTCTATGTTTGGATAAATTGTAGTATATATTTTGTTGTCGTTTAATAGCATTTTTCTTAGAGAAAACTACACATGTGAGCACTTTTAAAAAGCTATTTAAGAAAATGATATCACCTTTTGTTTACTCCTTATACAGCAGATCTTTTGAAAAAATCAGATCCCTTGATTTGTGCAATCAGTTGTACGTATAATTTTTATAATGTGCTAATATTGTATAAAGATCTGATATATATGGAATAAAAAAAATGATATCATTCTCTTAAATAACGTTTTAAAAGTGCTCGCCTGTGTAATTTTCTCTATTCTTATTTGGCTGTTTAATCTTTTGGCCTTTAGCTCTTGGTCCAAAAGTCCCAACTGGATTAGCATCATTCCGCACTTCTGGCCCATAATCTCTTACCAAGTAACACTGATTCACAACAATACTTCTGTCACAACCCAATTTTCCCTCCGTTTAGATATCATGATGACGCCTAGTCTTAAGTACTAGGTAAGCCTAACAATAATTAAAACAACAGTATTATTTAAATAGAATTTCTTATAGTTCCCAAAACTGGTAGTACAAGTCATAAGCTCTATAGAGTGTTTGTTAGAAAATTTCTTAATACAAATGTTCAGAAATAAGAATAAACAGTGCAAAACGAAAAGTTGAATGTGACTCTATAGCTTGCGAACGTAGCGGCAGGTTTACCTTGAGTCTCCGCAACAACAGTTCACACAGCTAGCTAACGAATAATTACCTCGATCTGCACAAAAAAATGTGCAGAAGAATAGCATGAGCACACCACAGCGGTGCCCAGTAAGTATCAAGACTAACCTCGGTGAAGTAGTGACGAGGACTAGTCAAGACACCCATTGGTCTAATAAACTGAACAAGCATAAGTATAGGGATGACAAAATATGACATCTATCTAAGGACCCCGCGATATGGCTAATGACATAGCAACTGCAATAAGGAAGGAAAAATAGGAAGTAACAGTGGAACACCAGAATAAGACACAGAAGAATGAACGAAAACACAACCCAAATCCAGAAATCACAATATAGTAAAGGGAAGTAGTAACTCAGCAGCTGCAATAGTTTTCACCTCAGGTCTCAGCCAACAACCCCAATAAATTAGTCAAATCCTTCAAGTGTAAACTTTCACCCGTAAGTTTTTAAATTGAGGTCTTTAGAATATAATTATTTTCAATAAGAAATTATTTTTGAAATATACTTCCTTCAAATAAATATCTTTCAAACATATTTCTTTCAAGATAAAACCTTTCAAATATAAACTTTTCAAATAATTAGTCTTCAAACATAGTTCTTTCAAGATAAATACTTTTCAAGTATAACCCTTTCAAATAAATATCTTCAAACATAGTTCCTTCAAGATAAATACTTTTCAAATATAAACTCTTCAAGTAATATCCTTCGAGTATAAGTTACCATGTGACACCTAAGCATGAAAGATTAGCAGCTCCGAATACAGATATAACCACAGGAGAAATCTATCGGGATACCGTCCCGTAGTCCCGAATTAATTATGCAAAACAGGGGGATCTCCCGGAATATGTCCGTAGTCCCAATTTAAATATGCAGTGCTAGGGGATCTCCCGGAATACGTCCGTAGTCCCAATTTAAATATGCAGTGATGGAGGATCTCCCGGAATACGTCTGTAGTCCCAAAATAAATATGCAGTAGTGGGGAATCTCCCAGAATACGTC